ATTTGAGCACCCAGATGCTAAGGAGAAAATGCTTGAGGTGGCACGTTTCTTCCCAGAAGACATACCCACACCAGATGACGCAGTGGACGAGTTTTAGTATTTTTCATGTATTGTGTCCTGAGTTAGACGTGGATCTTACCATCAATGCAGTCCTGTCATTTCTCATTGTCAACAACATGGATCAAGCATACCCACATCTGAGCATTCTCTTCAGGATTTGTAAAATCATTCCCATCAGCAGCACCACTGCCGAACAAAGTTTCAGCCGTCTGCGACTCAGTAAGACCTGTTTGCATTTGTGCATGGATGAGGCCAGACTATCAAATCTCTGCTTGCTCTGTGTGGAGTGGGAAATAAATATTGACAAGGACAAAGTGGTTGGCAGGTTTGCCACCATGAAGGAGAGGAGGATGAAAATTTAAAAAGGGACAATGATATGTATATAGTTTTGTTTGGATCATTTGTTCTGGAGGATTGTTAAGTGGACCAAACCAGTGGACAGAGCAGGCAACAGTTGGAAAGACATAATTTTGTCTTTAATAATTTACATTTTGGTTATGAAGATGTCACTTCCTGTGGAGTTTTAAACAGACTTGGTGTTTGTGTGAATAGGCTATGCCTGATATTGGCTAGTGCTGACCGCTCTGTCTGTTGTTCATGTAGTGTGCCACTGATTGAGAGACTGTACTTGGCCTGTTCATCATGCACCAGAGCTATTAAACAGCTGTCGCTCTCCGCCTGTGAGCATGATGTTGTCTTTTGTGTTGAAACATTTTAACTTGACTGGCAAGTTTGCCTTGTTCTTCAATGCAAAGTTGTCTGACAATGTGTTTTGTGTGACTGAATGTACAGTTGACCTTTAGTAGATAAATGACTAGAAATGCATGAGAAAAAAGGGACAAATTTAAAGGACGTACTCTGGCAGCAGACATATCAAGAGGAATTATAGGGGAGCCAAATGAAAATCATCTGGATCTGTGTGAGAGATAGTGTGTCTATAACTTGAGTAGACACAATAGAGGGCAGAGAGATATCAACAGCTTGGCCTATTATCTGGTCTAATGGAGGCCCTTCTGTTAGAAACAAAAGCCCTCGGTTGTTTTGCATCAGCTCCTCTGATGATTGGCCGACGTTTGTCCCACGTCGACGGAGTCAATTAAAAGCTCCATCCGTCAAGCAGCTCCGGCTGTCTGACGCCGAGCCTCAGTGGGAAATACACACACTGTCGCTCACTCACCAGTTTACTGTCATGGGTGTCTTTTTATTTATTTTTTTTCAGTGTCTTTTTCTCTTTCTTTTTCTTTTTTCTGTCTCTGTCTAAGTCACCATGCCAGGCTTCTAAAAGCAATTTCATCCTTCCTGTGCTGTCACGCTCCGTGTACACAATTTCCTATTGTTTGGTTTCAAGTGTAATTTCGAACTATATACAAGGTGCAGTGTATTTAATATATGAACCTCAAATATAGTCTTAAAACTAAATATGAAATTGCAGCAGCCACAGTGTATTGTATATTAGGAGGTATTTAATAAAAAAAATTGAGCTATAACAATGAGCTGATAAAAAGTTGCATCCACATGTTTGTCTTTTTCCCTAATAGGATTAGGATTGTTCTTGCCAGCTCTTGCCTGTCCTCATCCTGGTGTTGGCACACTACACTATAAAAATAGTATGTCCTAACACACACACACATACACACTAGTGAGCTGTACTCTGTAGGTCTCTGTAGTTGAATAAAAACTAAAACTAAAAAATAAACTAAATTATGTTCCACATGTATTATTATACTTATCACCACATTGAAAAGCATTATTAGTTTTTCTATTTTACATCTAATATGCCTGTAGGCATTACTGTAGGTTATGATGCAGGTTAAATAAAACCTAAAATAAGTCTATAAAACTATATTTCAGTCCAACATTAGATAAAAAGGTAAAAAAATATTTTGAGATTCAGTGTGAAATGGTTTCCTGATATTTCAGTGTTGACTGGCTTCTGTTTTAAAACCAGCTTTCCCTTGGCTGCCTTCCTCCTTTCTTTTTCTCTTCCTGTGGCCTCTCTATGTTATGACTATGTTAACTTCAGCCAACCACAATAAACTGGGCTGACAACTAAGATTATCACTAATGTAGGGGAAACCGACCCCGTGGTTGTACTGCACAGTCTGGACTCGAACTTGCGACCTCGGGTGTGGGAGGCAGAAATGCTAACGAGGAGGCTAAAAGCCACAAGCGCTAGCCTCTCTTAAGGTGTTGTGGAGTGAGGTTAACTCACTGCACAGCCTAGCTGGCTACCATTACATAGGCATGAATACTAGTGAAAAATTATATAATCACTGAAGTTTCCCCCAAATATTAATATACACTTCAAACCAATCATAACTGCTAAGTAAATCTCCTTCCAATGCTGCAGAAGAACTTAGTATTCATTCAGACGCAAAGAAAGAAAGGTGTAGAGCAGTGGTCGGCATTGATGAAATAGGTCCCGGTCATGACAGCTACAAGTACTCACATAATCACTTCCTCTTAAGTAATTGTCCCAAATATCCAAAATAAAAACGCAAGAATGTTTTTTGCAGCAATGCTTTATGTCACGTTAATTGAGAGCTTTTACTTAAGAAAAGTTCTGAAGGACATTGAGAAGAGACTTGCATGACACACCTCTGAAAAAGCCATCAGTAAACGTGTGATTAGATTCCCTTGTATTTCCCCAGGGAAATGAAAATAAGCGCCCATGTGATTGCGGATCAAACACCGGGACGCGCACACACACTCCAGAACATGCTTTATTGTGAGCATGTGCAAAAGTGTCTTTATAATCAATTTGTTTAACAAGGGAGAAAAAATATCTGTAGTATGGGATCAATCAACGTAAACATACACGAGTATCCAAGAATTTAAAATAATTTGACAGTGTTCTGGCCCGCCATGTAACAGCTTGAAAAACATTTGGCATGATGGCAGACTTATTTGCCGACGCCTGGTGTAGAGGGAATAACTTTTGAGCGTTTTAGCATCTTTCAGCTTATTGTTTTGTTTTTGAATCCCACAACTTTACTGTTTTGTTTCACTCTCATTGATCTCACCGCGCTCATCGTTCCAAGGTAGCCCCCCACAAAAAAATCTATTAATACAGTTATATATGGGCAAATAACAAGAAAGACTAACACTTAGCTATTTATTAATAGCTTAGCAGTGATTTTTCCCTATTGGTTTGTTGGTAACTACTAAGGATTAGTGTTAGCCTTTAATCAAACTTGGATAACCATGAAACCATTAATTAAGTAGAGGTGTATAGGCTACCACTTATCTAAATGATACATGACCTTTGTGAGACAAAAAGAGAAACATGTTTCTGTAGTCATGATGAATTTTACTTCTTAACCCAAAAGGGCCAAATGAAAATCTCACTCTCCCAAAAGCAAGCCTGTAAACTTCTGCCTTGCATAATACTGTATAAGTAATTTTTCCTTTTCACTTAGCAGTGAGAATATTTTATCTCTAATAACTGTTAATAAATGATTTAGTGAGAAAACACCCAGCAACAATGAAGAGCACAATCTTAGACTCAAATGCTTCACTGAGCAACAGCTCAAGGGCCAATTTTCAAGTGGAAAGATATAAAACAGACATCTGGGTGTTTCTCTGGGTGTTGTTTACCACGAACAATTAAGCCAAACAGTCATAAAGCAAGAGTCCTCCTTCACTTTCTGGCAAGAAACAGTCCAAAGAAAAGCTAAAAAAAAAATCAAATTAATTGCAGATTAGAGACAAAATGTAACAAAATCAAAAAATTAATGTACCACAAAACCTAATATCATTTGCTTGAAAAACTGATTACTTTTTTTTTTCTTTATTTAGGTTAAATGTCCTGGAAACACCTAATGAACAACTTGTATTTGAAAGTTCTCTGAAATAATTCTCTCCCTGCTTAACATTTACGATTTGCTGATGGGGTCTAAATTGAGTGTGTCAGGCCTATTCATCTTGACTGCCCTCCCATCATTTCCTGAAAGCAACGAGCCACATTGATTAAGTTCAACAATAGCCTGGTTCACACACAGCCTGAGAAATGGAGGGACTTCCTCAGAGCCAAAGTAATTGCATATATTCAAAGTAAAGAGACTTTTGACCAAGAAATTTAGTCTATGAATAAATAAAACTACACACCCAATACTCACTTTGATGAGAATGAAAAAATATATAAGTTTAGCGTTAATGGCTGTTCACAAAATAATTGAGCATGATAGTGTGGCATGAGAGGATGGAGGCACTGTGGATTACTTTATAACATTATTATTGTACAATGTTCTAATAATTAGTGTTACTAGTGGTAGTGTAAGGTATTTTTGACTGTTTGGGTGGCACTGGCCGTCAGTCGGTCTTCTGGTCCAATAGTTTGGTTAATACTTTGATTGTTGGGTGAAATAAATCAACAGCTATTGAATGGAGTACATTAAATTCAGTAAAGGCGTTCAAGGTTAACAAAGGACAAAGCCTAATGATTTGGGTCCGTTTTCACTATTTTGTTTTCTGGTTTGTGAGGATATTAAGGACACACCAGGATTTAAAACAGCAAAAATCAATTTATTCCAATGGATCCACCCCAATCAGCTCAACAAGGCTAAATTCATTTTTTTAAATCAATCAAGCTAATTTTTTGTGTAGAGGTTATCTTTGGTAAACCTGAATTTTCGCTGCTAACCACAAAATAGCTGACAGTTATGAGCAAGCTTGTTAGCTCAGAGAGCTTCATTTTACCTCGTCGATCAATTTAGAGATGCTCCAGGAGCTACTGTGAATGACTAGCGCTAGCACGGTCGGCTTAGGAGCTTGCAATGTCCACTTGGGGACTTGCCATTGTTTTGTTGGCCCGTTTTTCCAAAACCCCGCTGTGGTTGTAAAGTCAAAGATAAATTTCCATCTGAATCATGAGAGTTTTACCACAGTTGATCCCCAGAGGCATTTTATAGGGCAAGTCCACATAAACCAGATGTTTTTGGTATGGTGGAAAAATTTTTTATTCACAAGAGGGTTTAGTACAAGGTTTAACAACAAAAGTTGGGCAAGTGGGTGCTACAAAAACATAAACACAAGATAACAAAAAGAGATCCCTCCAAAACAGGGATTACAAACTAACTCGAAACCTAATGAAAACAAAACCTCTCTTTTCATGGGTGATTCAGAACAGAACATAGAGAGCACAGCTCCCCTAAACCTCATGTGCTAAACAAAGAAAATATCCTGTCCATGTAGAGTGGTATCAGTATTTACTCTGAACCCTAGCCCAACTCTACAGACACACGGTTAAACACAATCAATTCAAGTGTGCCACTTAACAAAAATTAACACTTACTGACTTTCAGTAAGGTAATAACTACTGCAGCAAGGTTACAGGGTCTTAAGCTAACACAGCTAACACAAAAGATGCTAGCAGCAGATCATACACAAGCAAGCCTATCAATGGAAGTGATAGCTGCTGGAACGAGCACACGATATACTTCCAGACAGGCTTAATACACACAGTGGTCGGCACAGAGGCAGAATACTAAATGAGAGACAGCGCTCTCTTGTGGCAGTATGACGGCTTTTAAAGCAGCAGGCCCCAAACACAGCTTTCAGATTGGTGGACGGTCTTGTAGGCTGGAGCAGACGAGTCTTCACCGACACCAACTAACCCTCAGCCGTGGATTGCACAGGCTGCGTAGCATACTGGGAACACACATGGACAACCAAATAAAACTGCTTAAAACGCTTTTTAAACCTTATTTTGGGGCAAAGTCATCAAACATTTTCAGCAATGTTTATGAGATTTTAATGATGATTCTATACATGTGGTTTTAATGTGCAGGTGACCAGTGGAAGTGCAGTTATGGCTCTCTCCCCGTTCAGTCAGATAGGGGTCTTGTTAGTCTGGAATAGCTGCCAGGAGGAGTTACCAAGATGGCTGCCGAGTAGCAGGACTTGCCTAGAAGGACTTTGGCGTCAGCAAAAACCCCAACAGATTCAGCACCATGAACAGGGCTGGCAGTCACTGAACAAACAACTGCAGGGGGGAGTGTGTATTTTTGTAGTATTTGTCCTTCAGCGCAATGGGTGTTTGTTTTTGGGATAATGGGCTGTCCGACAAATGGACTTTTGGTCCAATGGGTCATTTTTCATGAAAGTGTGTTACATTCTAGCTCTTGCCAAACGAGTTCATGCTGATTAACCCTTTCACTAGTTACATCTCTCTGTACTCTAAGTCTACAAGAGTTCCCACCTCCTAGATTCCCACCCTGGGCTGTAATGGCTGTAAAAAAAAAAAAAAAAAAAAGGTCCATTGGAGAGAATATTATTGATAATTGTTTACTGTTTATTTTGTTTATTGTGATTGTATAGTTTGTGTTAATATGCTTTGGCAACGTTGTATTGGATGCAGTGATGCTGTAGATGGTGCAACTCTCAATCTACAAGGGTCTGAAACAAAAAAAGTATCTAATAATAGAGTATAGAAAAATAGAAAAATATGTGGCTTGGTGTAATGGTTCAAAGGAAGGGTCAGTCAGAGGGATTGAATACTTGTTTTTTACAGTTATGTCGTAGAGCCTCGAATTCTATAAATGGTTGTAGAGTGGTGTCTTTTTTCTTAGCAAAGAAATCCTGCTACCACAGGGGAAGAAGAGGGATGGATCAAACCTCGTGCAGGGGAGTCATGTATGTACATCTTCATAGCATCTTTTTCAGGCCGCAAGTTGTTATGCAGTGTACTGGATGGTAACGGGGCTCTAGGGAGTAAATCTATGGAACAGTTGTGAGGTTGTAGAGACAGGCCTCTCTGTTATCTGAAAACCTCTACTATGTCATGATAAACAGAGGGAACTAGAGACAAGTCAGAAGGGTTCGGGTACCAGGGCTGGGATTAAATGCAGACAATAGACCATGGAACTGGCAAAAAATACTTCAGCTTAATAGCATTACTGGACCAGTCAGTATGGGGGTTATGACGTTTAAAGGTTAAGTGTTGCAAATTGCAACCAGCTGTCTAATCTATCGCTCCTGATTCTGAACGACATTAAAAAAAGTTTGTAGCCTGCTTAACACACCTCTGAAAGAGCTGTCTGAAAATGTGATTCCTCTAAATGTCCTCTGCCTGGAGGTACTGGGGAAATGAAAAAGCGTCCATAGGTTGCACATGCTTTATTGTGAGCATGTGAAACAGTCCATAATAATCAATTTGTTGAAGAGGGGGGCAAAAAATTCTGGGATCGAATACACAACCTTCTGGGTGAAAGACTTGCCCTTTACCAATTGAGCTAACTAAACACCATTATATGTAATCTACATATTATGCCTTATTTTCTCACCCACCATCTGATGGATAAAGAAAATTGCTTCAATGCAAATTTTTTAACCCCCTGTATATTATTACTTCTTCTTTTTCTACGAACATATGTATTCAACATAGTGATAAGCGTCTATACTGACAGAATTCTACAAGAAAAAGAAGAATGTTGTTGTTGTTACTGTAGAAACATGGAGGCGCAACATGGAGGCGCAACATGGCGACGTCCATGGAAGGGGGCACCTGCGGTTATGTAGCTAGAAATGGCTCATTCTAAGGTAATAAAAAACCTAATGGTTTATGGTTATATATAATGGTTCATAATGTAAGGTCTTTTATACACCACCGAAAACATACAGTGGGTACGGAAAGTATTCAGACCCCTTTAAATTTTCCACTCTTTGTTTCATTGCAGCCATTTTCCAAAAATCTAAAAAGTTCATTTTATTTCTCAGTAATGTACACTCAGCACCCCATCTTGACAGAAAAAAACAGAAATGTAGAAATTTTTGCAAATTTATTAAAAAAGAAAAACTGAAATATCACATGGTCATAAGTATTCAGACCCTTTGCTCAGTATTTAGTAGAAGCACCCTTTTGATCTAATACAGCCACGAGTCGTTTTGGGAAAGATGCAACAAGTTTTTCACATCTGGATTTGGGTATCCTCTGCCATTCCTCCTTGCAGATCCTCTCCAGTTCTGTCAGGTTGGATGGTAAACGTTGGTGGACAGCCATTTTCAGGTCTCTCCAGAGATGCTCAATTGGGTTTAAGTCAGGGCTCTGGCTGGGCCATTCAAGAACAGCCACGGAGTTGTTGTGAAGCCACTCCTTCGTTATTTTAGCGGTGTGCTTAGGGTCATTGTCTTGTTGGAAGGTCAACCTTCGGCCCAGTCTGAGGTCCAGAGCACTCTGGAAAAGGTTTTCGTCCAGGATATCCCTGTACTTGGCCGCATTCATCTTTCCCTCGATTGCAACCAGTCGTCCTGTCCCTGCAGCTGAAAAACACCCCCACAGCATGATGCTGCCACCACCATGCTTCACTGTTGAGACTGTATTGGACAGGTGATGAGCAGTGCCTGGTTTTCTCCACACATACCGCTTAGAATTAAGGCCAAAAAGTTCTATCTTGGTCTCATCAGACCAGAGGATCTTATTTATCACCATCTTAGAGTCCTTCAGGTGTTTTTTAGCAAACTCCATGCGGGCTTTCATGTGTCTTGCACTGAGGAGAGGCTTCCGTCGGGCCACTCTGCCATAAAGCCCCGACTGGTGGATTGCTGCAGTGATGGTTGACTTACTACAACTTTCTCCCATCTCCCGACTGCATCTCTGGAGCTCAGCCACAGTGACCTTTGGGTTCTTCTTTACCTCTCTCACCAAGGCTCTTCTCCCCCGATAGCTCAGTTTGGCCGGACGGCCAGCTCTAGGAAGGGTTCTGGTCGTCCCAAACGTCTTCCATTTGAGGATTATGGAGGCCACTGTGCTCTTAGGAACCTTAAGTGCAGCAGAAATTTTTTTTGTAACCTTGGCCAGATCTGTGCCTTGCCACAATTCTGTCTCTGAGCTCTTCAGGCAGTTCCTTTGACCTCATGATTCTCATTTGCTCTGACATGCACTGTGAGCTGTAAGGTCTTATATAGACAGGTGTGTGGCTTTCCTGATCAAGTCCAATCAGTATAATCAAACACAGCTGGACTCAAATGAAGGTGTAGCACCATCTCAAGGATGATCAGAAGAAATAGACAGCACCTGAGTTAAATATGAGTGTCACGGCAAAGGGTCTGAATACTTATGACCATGTGATATTTCAGTTTTTCTTTTTTAATAAATTTGCAAAAATTTCTACATTTCTGTTTTTTTCTGTCAAGATGGGGTGCTGAGTGTACATTACTGAGAAATAAAATGAACTTTTTTGATTTTTGGAAAATGGCTGCAATGAAACAAAGAGTGAAAAAATTAAAGGGGTCTGAATACTTTCCGTACCCACTGTAGTTATGGATCTTGCATTTCTGTCAATAAATCCTCAGAAAAATTACACACTGAACCTTTAAGCCAGGTCAAACTAGGGGAGTGAGGAAACCTGATGGACTCACAGTGATTACCAGAGATGATGGGTTCCAATGGAACAGTCTCAGGAGTTATATGTGCCAGAAGTTTACAATCCAAGTTGTTCACATCCTTTGCCAATGGTAACAGCTCCACCGTGAGACCCAGCTGACTGACCACAGAGGAATCAATAAAGTTATCATCTGGGCCTGAATCCACCAGCGCTAGCATGGGAACAGAGATTTTAGCACACAGTACAGAAGCCTTGAGTATCATGCGTTTGGAAGGGGTGAAAGTAGAAATGGGAGAATGGTTCATCAGGACCCCTTTACTCACTGATGAGCCGAAGCTTTTGGCAGGGAGGGAAAGGAATTCACCAGATAACGTAAATATGTAACAATGTAATAAATGTAATAAGTAATGTAAACAGCAGCAAAAAGATGATAATATGGTTCCATCTTCACATAAAATGTCATTTGGGAAAACAGAGTCCATCTCCTCTAATCGTGTCGAAGACTTGTGTTCTGACAGCTCAGAACACGCCCCACCCGCCAAGTATTTGATCCGGGATGTTGATGAGCAGGTCTCTGTAAAGACTGTAAGACCGTAAAAACTGTCTCTGATTTCCGTTGCTTGGCCAACATGTGTCCCATTTTGTCCAGACCAGAGCTTTAGGAGCAGAATTAAGTCAAAGCTGCGCCAACATGGCTCCTATCCTGGCTGTCTTTCCTCTCCTCTGAGCGATCACCGCACCCGCCGCATTGCCTCGTGTGGCTGATCTGGCCGTCTAAGGGCCACTGCTCTTTAATCCAAAACCACAGCTTCCTTTTCCAATGAATGTATTTCCGTCATAGGTAACACGTGTTTTGGCAGTAAAGCCGGAAAACTGATGAAAAACAAAAGTGTAGCGAAGACCCATAGCAATTCAACTACAAACAACTTCAACTGACCGCAGGAGCCTAAATTGCCAGCGTAACACTCTGGAATGGGAAAGTAAGGCTCACGGGCTAGCAAGGGTTGTAAGGGAGACTCTAGCGAAGTGGCAATGGGTGTAGCTGAGGACATATGTGAGGCTATTTGGTCCAAATGTCCTCCAAACTGATTAACAGGCTAGAAAGTGAGAGTACAGTCTCTGTTACCTCATGCAGAATCCCCTCATTCTGTCCATGACGAAGGCCTTGGTTGACAAGAGCCTGGCATATTCTGTCTGTGTCTGCTTCCTCCATTGTGGCCAGACTGTTCTGTTACAGTTGGTTGTTGGCAGATCCAAAAGCGGACACAGAACACAACAGGCGGTGGTAAAAAGTAACAGACCTTATTAGTGTAGCCGGGTGGAAATGACATTGCGCGGCAGTTGGTCTTGCCAGACCGGTAGTACAGTGATTAGCAAATAAGAGGCACCTGCTGGGTGTTATGCTTTGTCCTCCACATGAAGAGCTGGCACACTGCACGTCGGGTTGCTATCATGCCACGACATGACTGAATCCAATACCTTATCTCTTTTCTTGTTCATGCCACGATTTGAGTGAAATGGACTTGAATCGGAATTCACATTCTCTCTTTGTTCCTTTCGGAGAGCCAGTGTCAGAGAGGCGTCTGGCTGTAGTGTATCAGTTGGCGGACCACTGTTACAAGGTACATGTTTGCTTTTATTTGGTGTGTGGGGGGGGGGTCATTGTTGATTCTGTGTGCTGTACAATTAATGCAACATAATAAATGCTAATGCCACATATGTATATTTGTAGAGCTTTTGGGGAGCATGCTTGTCGTTAGCTTTGAATATGTTTTCAGATACAATTGTCTAGTTTCTCGTGGAATTGTATAGACTTAATTATGTTTTGTTTGGGTTGAAGGTAGTGAGCCACTGCCTCGGTGGTTTTCTTTTTTCCCTTTGTTTTGTTCTGATCTTGTGACCTGGCTTAGTGCCCACCCTGTATATGTGATGAACTTGTATGGACCCTAGTATATTGATCGTTCTTCAATAATTAAATATCCGACTTGTTGCAGTGCAGCATTACATCAGTGCGTGAGACATCAAATATAAGTCACACCAAGAGGAAAATAGGTAGCCTGTAGTAGCTTCCTAGCCACATCATCCATTTCTTCCACAGAAACAACAGCAATCACAATATCTTTCAACCATAGTAGACATTAACTCTTTGTTACTTGTTACAGTTTTATTAGTTTACGCTACATCATTTGGCAAGTTTTTTTAAATGTTTGTTTAATACTTAAATACTCAGGAGTGGTGGTGGTGAACCATTATCTTTGGCATGTCCAGATTTCTATTAAGCATATAGTTTTAGTTTATTTCAGCTGTTAATGTTAATATTCACTAGTCATGCTCTTTGAGAGACTGTCACATCCATTACAAAATATCTCAGTCTGAAATCTAAATCCATTTAGGTTGACAATTAACCAGTCCCATTGACCTGTTCTTTCTATTATGGAGAACTGCCCTCCATTAGCCTCTCTGCATCTGTAAACATTAACCTTTGCTGGTAATATTACACATGCTAATCCAGTTAGCTGGCTGCCATCGACATCCGCCCTCTCTTTTTGCTTCATGATTTACCTACTCTCTCTCTCTCTCTCTCTCTCTCCAGCTACACTTCAGCATGCAGGCTGTTGGTTTGGAGCTCAGAAAGTCATCATTTGATAGCCTCTGGGCTGGGCTTATCTACTCCAGGGTCATCAGACAATATTTCTCTTGGTTATCTTCACTCCCTCCATCAATCCATCCATCGAGGCAGCTCACTCACAAATGTATCTCTTACTCTGGATGATACATTGAAAATAGGCAATCTCTCAGAGGAAAATGTGGTCCAAAACAATGTTACTTTATGATATATTGTACATTATTATTTTTTATCTTGTTTGTGTTGATTAAGAGCAGTAGGCCAGAAAGTGTACAGATAGGGAGAATGAGTAGGATTTTCCCAAAAATCAATATATAGACTCAAACAAAAAAATCCTCTTCAGTCATTCCTTATGACCCATTAGAAGTGTGTGGCGGTGTCTATATCTGTAGAGACTCTGCCCTCTTCCTGTATTTTCTTATTTTGCTGTGCTTGGGATATTCCTGGGAGAATAATAGAGTGTAAGGAAGCTATGAAAATTGCGGACACAGCGCCGAAAAAATACAAACACAGTGCCTAATGGACAAAGCATGTTCCAGTGAGTGAAGTGGTTAGCTTTCACATATTTGGATAAGACAGTGGAGCTAATGGTCGTTTGTGGAGCTAGTTAGCTTGCTTAGCTAGGTGCATCTGTAATTCACCTTAACTGACATTTTAAAAGGGCTGACAATTTTGTCTAGCAAACAACAGGCTTAAAACTAAATGTACTCACTAGGGCTGTCCCCGACTAAGGATTTACATAGTCTAATCAGAATCATCAAGTCCTGCCTATATTCGACTGATTGTCGAATCATGTGTGTTTTTTTGCGAGCGGCGATTGCGAGCAAGGGTGGGGGGGTGTTACACACGTTAGCTCCGCTTTAATCTTGAGAAGCTCTCTTTTCATTCAACTTACACTATAAATTTCCGTGCATTACTGCGGCGGACAACTGCATGCACGTCACGGTTCCTCATTTTAAATGTCATCAAGTACGCTGTGATGAATTTAACTCCTTTGAAGTTCTCACTCTTAAAGTTGGAGGGCTGCAACCTATCATATTTGTTATAATTTATCGCCCCCCAAAACTGCCTGGAGGATTTTTATCAGAACTTCCTGAATTTTTATCTACTCTGGTTTTAAATTATGACAGAATTGTTCTTTGTGGCGATTTTAATATTCATGTTGATGACCCCAACAATGTTAATGCAACTAACTTTTTAAATATGGCCACTTCTTTTAACTTCAAACAACATGTCAAAGGGCAAACACATAACCGTGGTCATACACTGGACTTGGTTTTTACCCTGGGTGTCAGCATTTCCTTGGTGGAATTAGTGGACATGACCATATCTGACCACAGATGTATTGTTTTCAGCTGCGATTCGCCTGTTACTCATGCCGCCTCACCAAGCTCCGTGTGTTCTCGCTTCTTTAATGAACAAAGTGTTTCAAAGTTTTGCGCATTCTTTCAGAGCCAAAGCCAAGATCTGATTACAACACCAATAATCTGGTCAATCACTTCAATCATATCTGCTTGTCGTCACTAAATATTACTGCTCCTCTAAAGGTTAGGCCTACGTCTAAAGCTAGTAAGCAACCCTGGATAAATGACAGCATTCGCAGCCTAAAAAGGGAATGCAGGAAAGCAGAGCGCAGATGGAAAAAATCCAGTCTCCAAGTCCATTACCTCAGTCTGAAGGATTTATTAATGAACTACAATAACATGGTTAAGGATGAGAGAACACACTATTTTTCTGAACTCATTACTACACATAAACACAATCCCAGGTTTCTGTTTAAGACTGTGGATCAGCTGGTAAACCCAACCCCTCCTTGTGCCTCAGCTGGAAGTAATGATGACTGTGAATTGTTTTTATCTTATTTTACCAATAAGGTGGTGTCAATCAGAGCCTCTATTACCCCAGCGGCCTCTTACTCAGAGGTTCCTCACCAGCAACAAGAGAGTTTTAACCAGTTTTATCCCATCGACTTGTCTGAGCTTTTGAAAACAGTAACACAAATGAGAGTGTCCTCCAGCCCACTTGATGTAATACCTACAAAATCTTTACTGAAAGTAATAGATTCTGTTGGGCCCCATTTGATCTCTGTTTTCAAAAGCTCCCTATCTACTGGTTGTGTCCCTGATTATTTTAAAACAGCTTGCGTAAACCCACTTTTAAAGAAACCTGGTTTAGATCCCTCCCTCCCACATAATTTTAGACCAATTTCAAAACTGCCTTTTATTGCAAAGATTCTAGAAAGAATTGTGTCCAAACAGCTGCTCATTGTACTGGAAAATAACAAAATATTTGAAAAGTTTCAATCTGGTTTCAGGAAGTACCACAGCACTGAGACTGCCCTGCTTAAAGTCACCAATGACCTTTAATTGTCTGCTGATGAAGGCATGCGCTCAGTCCTTGTACTCCTGGACCTTAGCGCTGCTTTTGACACCATTGATCACAACATCATGTTAGACAGACTGAGGCACTGGGTGGGGATCTCTGGTACTGCCCTAGAATGGTTTTCATCCTACCTGTCAAATAGGAAGTTTTGCGTGTCTGTAAA